TTAATTTGATTAATTAATTATTAAAATTAAAATTAAAATTTATTCTTTTAATGTAATTCAATAATAAAATTATATATTAATTATTTTCTTAAAAAAACATATGTTAAAGAAATCAACCCATTAAACCTATGGATTCATCCACCAAGTTTAAGAACTTAGTTTATGTAGGTTGAGAGTTTTATTCCCACCTACTACTTAAAAAAAAAAAAACCCTTTCTCTCAAAATTTCACCCATCAAAAGAAGAAAAAGAAAACATATGTTAAAGAACCCTAAAATAAATTGCAAAATCAAGAATTAAATATTAAGTACTATGATTTTAAATTTGATCATTATTTTAGGTAGGCAAAAATAAGCTTACGCGTTCCTCTCTGCCTCCTCTGACACGCGTAAAGAGAAGGTGACTTTGCATGTGATGCTAAAGTCGCCCACTACTTGCATCTCTTCTTTAACAAGTTGTTAAAACAGCTCTCGGGTCTCGGCGACGACGCTGCTCCTTTCCTTTCCTGCGTCTCTCCAAACCTCAATTTTATAATTTTAATGATTTCTCCAATTAAAATAAAGAAGGAAAAAAAGCACACCCAATCACCTCATAAAAGAGAAAGCCACAAGCTTTCAGCTGTATTCTGCTCTTCGATCCTTGCTTTTTCTGGTGAATTCATGCCCTGAAATGTGGAAAGTGTTGAGGGTTTATGCGTTCTTCCTAGGTTTCCTTCACGTCGTCTCCCTCTTCCTCGCCGCCTTTACAGGTTCCTCTGTTTCCCCTCCCCCCTTTGTTTTCTTTTACTTGTTAATTTGAATCCAGTTCCAGAATAATGGGTTTTTAGTTTTTCTTGATTTGTATTTTGGTTTTAGACTTTTAGTTTGATTTTCTGATTTCTAGCCTCTTGGTGGGGACGGAAGGTAATTGAGATCTGGGATATTGATTGCAACCTTTGTGGAGTATATGGGTTTTTTGAATATGATATAACTTCTGCTTGGTTGCTGGGAAACTGTTAATTGTAATGTAGTTTGACAAATCATCCATTTCCTCGTTTGATTTGATGAAGTTGTTTTCATAAGTGATTATACCAATGATGATAGATCCCGTATGTCACTTTATTTTCTAATTTCTTTTCCTATGGTTGACTACCAAAATGATAGTTTCATAATTGTTTTTGGCTCCTTAACAAAAGATGGGATTTTCAATTGTTAAGATGTGGCAACTGTTGTTTTCAAACCAGTCCCTTTTGATCCTGGAAAGAAATTACAAGTCTATCTTCAAAAATTGGAAATTGCGTATATACTTCTGCAAATATGTAGACTGCAGTCTGTAGACATGTTTATTTGTTGTAAAAGTTATACTAAGGATGTTGATTTTTGCTTGGATGAATCCCTTCATATGTTTTCTTGTAAACAAAGGTTTTTAATAGATCAGTTACGTTGTATCCCCACTTTTTCCTCTACTTCATTTGTTAAGTGCTTTTAACATTGTTTTATAACGGCATGATTTTATTGTTTGCAAATGCAGAGTAGTAAGTGAAGCAGTATATTATTCTAGGCCATTGCTAATAAGTAACAGCTAAGGTCTTCGAATTTTATCCCTCTACAATCTCATGTATGTCAAGCTCTGCTCTGATTTATTTGTTTTTCACCTTAAACTCTTTGGTTCAGTTGTTCTGTTGTAATACTCAAACCATTCAATTAGAGAATCTATAGCAAAACTTTTATAAGTTTTACCTTTTATTCAAAGGCCAAATGTACAAAGTGCCCCACTATATTTTTAAGTTTTAGTAAATTAGCACCCAATAAAAAATTTGAAGCAAATTGCTGCCTCAAAATTTCATTTTAGAGAAATCAGCCCAAATTTAACAATTGAACAGTAATTGTGTTGATGTCAACTGTTAAATTTGGGCCAACTTCTTAAAAAATAAATTTTAAGGTGGTGATTTGCTTCAACTTGAAAATATTGGGGGACAATTTTCAGCTTCTGAATTTTTTTTTTTTTTTTAAAAAACTGTTGAATGCATGCTACTTGTGTATTCATGTTTATTTGTTCCCACCTTATCATGGCATTAATGGCAATTTCTGCTCTTAGTTTCATTCATTTTTATATAGTCCGTGATAAACCAAGATGGCAGCTGAGCTTGTCAATTCTGCAACAAGTGAGAAACTTGCTGAAGTGGACTGGACAAAAAACATTGAGATATGCGAATTAGTTGCTCAAGATCAACGGTACGTTTTTCTGCATTTGTCAAATATGTGAATGAGTGGGAATGGGTGTCAAAATCATCTACTTTGTAGTTTCAGATTCATTGCCCCACTCTGCCTATTCAGAGTTTCTTTTCTTCTTTTCCTTGACTTGGTTCTATGCTTTCTTATGTACAGGCAAGCCAAAGATGTCATGAAGGCTATTAAAAAACGTTTAGGGAGCAAAAACTCAAATACTCAATTATATGCAGTAATGGTGATTACAGACTTCCTATTGTACTCAGTGATGTAAAGTTGTTTCTATAACCACCAATATTGCGTTGTTGTGCAATGAAAATCAGCTTTTAGCTTTGCTGGTTGTTGTATGCCCGACAACTTAACAATGATTTCAACTTTCAGTTAGTTAGATTACTTGTAACCTCAGCAAGGCATTATCTTATGTTTGATTTCACAGCTGTTGGAGATGTTGATGAACAATATTGGAGAAGCAGTTCATAAGCAGGTGATTGATGTGGGGATCCTCTCTATTCTTGTGAAGATAGTTAAGAAAAAGGTGCAAACTTGTTTCTTCTAATACAGTTGAACTTTTGCTGATTTTCTACATGATTTGATGTTCTAGCCTTTGCTTTGCTCCAGTCAGATTTGCCTGTTCGAGAGAAGATATTTTTACTTCTAGATGCCACGCAGACATCCCTTGGTGGTGCTTCTGGAAACTTCCCTCAATATTATAGTGCATACTTTGATTTGGTGGTAGGTAGAAACTTAATCATGTGTGATTCTTTTATTTTTGGGTTAGTCAAGATGTTTCCTCTCTGGAATTGTAATGCTGAAGGCATGAATTGCAGTTTGCACCCCTATGTATGAGGAAATCTATGTGATTGAGCAAGAAACTGAACATAGATAAGACCTTGATCATTTAGTTTGAATCTTTATAATTATTATTCTCTCATATATGTTTGTTTAGTTAGATAATGAAGAAGTATGTACTGTGCATGTAGCAGGCACCATTGATGTGACTAGCAGTTATGTAGTATGGGTATATTTGTCCTTTAGGTTCTTTTGTATCTGCATGGAACATGGATTAATATTCCTTTTGTTTTGGTTTTGTTGTCATCTGTTTATTAGATCATAACTCCTAAAGGTATATTTTATTAGCATTTCTCTGGATTTATATTATTTTTATGTTTATTTTTCATTTTAATTGTTGTCAGAATGCTGGAGTGCAATTTCCTCAAAGGCCCCAATCTACTCCTTCGAACCATCCTACTTCACAAGAAAATAAGAAAAATACTCTTAATGGGGAACTTGCTGCGTCTAGACATGATGAGCTTGCTCAAAAACCGGATCCTCAGACTGTTCCTGAATCAAGGTACCGTTTTCCACATTTAGGACTGAATATCTTGTGACCTATGCATGAAGATTCATTTCATCATGAAAAGGTTAATATATGCACTTTCAATGGCTTACTCTAAACACTATGACATCTACATTATAATCCAATAATCCATCCTATAGATTGCAATGCATAGATTCTGTTTAGTGTTTACAACCTTCTTTTTGTGTCATTAACGGGTATTAGATCTTTCTGACAAAAGAAAAATTCTCAATCTGTTACAGTGTCATTATTCAGAAGGCTGGCAATGCTTTAGAGGTTTTAAAAGAAGTCCTTGATACAGTTGATCCTCATAACCCTGAGGTATGGTGGACATTTATGACTTGCCTGCTATTTAATGTCTACTTGTATTGTTTAGATGCATGCATGTAGTTATGAATTGGTATCTAAGACATTGACTTTTGATGTTATGTTACTTGTAGGGAGCAAGGGATGAGTTTACACTTGATCTGGTTGAACAGTGCTCATTCCAGAAGCAACGTATAATGCAAGTTGCAATGACTTCTCGGTAAAGGCTGCTCTCAGTTTGTTCCACTAGTATAATCTGAATTATGCTTACCAACCACAGTTGTTTGGCATCATGTTTGCTTATATGTTCCCAAGTGTTTCAATGTATGTGTGCATGTTGACATGTTTAGTCTTTCACTTTTTTTTTTCTTTTTTTAATTTCTAGTTGAAGACTGTCTGGACAACTCTATATGACTTTCTTTTTTATTCTTGTTAGTTGCTTAACTTTTCTGGAAACTACTTATTCTAGAGACATACTAGTCAATTCTTTGCCCATTATCTGAAAAAAAAGAAAAAAAAAAGAAAAAAAAAAAATAGAGATGCGTCGGCATTAATTTGCAGGGTTTTTGGTATTGCTACTTATATTGGAGATTGTCTCTACCTATCCAGGGATGAGAAGGTGGTTTCTCAAGCAATTGAGTTGAATGAACAACTCCAGAAAACTCTAGACAGGCATGATGCCCTTCTCTCAGGTAGAGCCACAGTTTCAAGCAGACCAGCATCAACTGCAAATCATATTGCTCATGAAGACATGGAGGAGGAAGAAGAGCCTGAACAGCTTTTCAGAAGGTTTGTCCATCTGTATTCCCTGGGCTCATAATTGTAGTTTTAGTGTCCTTTCCCTCTTGAAGATTCTGATGTTCTCTGAAAATTAATGATTCTGGATGCCAGCAATGAACTGTGGTTTCTTACTGGATTAGCTAACACTGGTTGTATATTCCCTAGTTTTGATGACAAGAAGCTTACCTCTTGACAATTTAACATTTTGATTGCTCCTTGTTTTATTCAAACCACTTGTCTTTTTAGTTTTTATTTCGTTTGTTGGTTTTTATATTTAACTGCAAAATTTGACAGGATACGGAAAGGAAAAGCTTGTGCAAGGCCAGAAGATGAAGAGTACATGTACGCTTCAGAGCGACCTCACTTGGGCATGTTTGGATCACCCATTCCAGGTGAAAGAGAGAGGCTAAACCGTCCACTTATTCGCTCACTCTCCTCAGAGACATCCCATGAAACCAATGGACATCCTCCACCTACTGCCATCCCACCACCTCCTGCAAAACAAATGGAAAGAGAGAAATACTTTCAGGAGAAGAAGGTTGATGGTTCCACATTGGCTGGTCATGTGAGAGGCCTGTCATTACACAGTCGTAATGCCAGCAGTTCCCGGAGTGGAAGCATAGATTTCAGTGACTGATTAAGGTCTATGCCCGCCTCTCGGTGTCTGTTGTGGATATGTTAGATTTGTGAGTTTCTTTCTGCAAGTGAAGGTGGGTGTTCCATTGCTATGTTGAAAGAGAGGACTAAGGACTTAACCTTCATGATATTTTATCATCTGAAGAACATCAAGTCTGTCCATTATCGTTGGTTATTGCTGGTGGACGGATATTTCTCCAGAGTTGTGCTATCGAATTTATGTGTTCAACTATACCAACATGTTTCAAATTTTCTCTATGTAAAAGAGGATGATTATTTTTTTTCCTTCTAATTTAATTTGATACTAGTAGCATGATTTGTTTCTTTTTATTCTAGTAGAGTATGGAACCTTCTACTACCTTCTAATTCTAAGATAATGAGGCGTGACATGGCTACACCTCCACTGCGCTTTCAAAGCAGGTGGCTTTTTGGGGGTAAGAAGTCTCAACTCATTTCTAGATATTATGGAAGATTCAGTTCAACCTTCCATTTTACCAAGTTTTCTATGAAAGAAACTTCTTTTATTAAGGAAAAAAAAAAAAAGAAAGAAACTTTTTAGATAAGATAATGAATTTCAAGTATTTCAGTATGGGTTGTATCTTTTTACTATTGAAATTATAAAATTATCATCCATGAATCAATATTAAAAAGTTTTATTGAATATATTTTTGTATTTTTGGTGTCAGAATTATACTTTTATTAAGTAGTTTAATTTAGAAAATATATATACACTTTTTATTTACTTTTAATAGGTTTACTTTTAAAGTCTAAAAAATAAATTGAAAATTTTTTTTATAAGAAATTCTTGTTATGTATTTTAATTTGATAAAAAAATTTAATTATTAGTTACATAATATATTAAATTTTTATTTAAAATTTATATTTATAAAATTAAATTAAATTAATTAAAAATAATATAAAGAGTATTTTTTAAAATAATACTATTTTTTTATTGAACAAAACAAGAAAAAAAAATTGGTTTGCATTGGTGACAGTTGGAAGTAGGTAAAGATTTAGACTTTCTTTAATGATGGAGTTGAAAAATGAAAGAAATTGCCCATTCAAAAAAAATCTATATTTTAAGTGAAATAAAAGAAATAAATAAAAGGAATTCAAGACAAAATGAAGAACACAAGTTTTTTTTTTTTTTTTTTTTTTTTTTTGAAAATAGGAAATGGAATGAAGAACACAAATTAAATTAAAAGAGAGAAGGGAAGGGAAAAAATGGTGGGTAATGAAAAATGATAGCTGAGGATGAAAAGATAAAGAAAGGACGTAGCTTTATAGAGTTCTCATGCGTCGCTCTCTCCCCTCAACCCAACTAGTACTACTCTGTTACCGTTCTTCTCTTTCCCATAAACACGGAGAAATAAAACACACAGAATTTGCTGTTGCTTCTACTCTGATTTTCCTGTAATCGTTTCTTTCATCTAGCTACAATTGGGTAATTCTTCTTCTGGGTTGGGGTGAATTTCTGGTCTTGTGTTGTGTGGTTGGGATTTGCAGAGAGTTAGCAATATTGGGTTCAGTGGGTTCAGGTTCTCCCATCAGAAGAAATGAGAAGTGCTACAATTCAGAGCTGTACCTCTTCTTCAACTTCATCTTCCTCAGCATTCCCTCATCCTCCATGCCTCACCTCCGCCTCTGGCCGTTGCAAGTTCAATCCTGCGTATGTCTTCCTTTCTCTATATATGCACATATGTTGTTTATGTATTGATATACTTATGATAGATGTTAAATTCTACAAGTCAAAAGATTTATGTGTTTAGAGATGACTCAAGAAAGTGGGTTCGGGAAATTCACCAAAATATTGAGCTCTGCCTCGTCTTCTCTTTGGTTATAATTGAAAGCTAATTTGTGAGTGATGGTTGTGTTATCTTAAAAATCATTAGCTGGTTTCTCGTGAAGCGTTGTCTGAAGGTAAAAAATTTAGACAGAATAAAGTTCTAATAATGGATCTGCTAATATTAAATTAGCTAAGGTTGAAATTTGGGAGTTGGGACCTGCCAGTTGGGACCTGCTTAAGTAACCTTCAACTCATAGATGATTTGGACTATATAATCAGATGGGTATAGAAAAACAATGCTTCCTCATCCCTACTTCTTTTATGTGTTGGAGTTATTTGAAGTGTGCTTTGTTCAACACTGTGCATGTCTCTGGCCATAACCTTTTTCCTTTAATTGTATTCTCTGCTCCCACTTATGAATTGCCACTTAGATCATCCTGGTTATACAGATTATGTTTTGTATCAACTATCTGCCATTGCATGTCAAAGTTGTTAAAGTCAATCCAAGTCTTGATAGTTTGACTTTCTTCTCTTTCATAGGCTGTTGCCTCAGGGCATATCCTTCTCTCAAAGGATGTCCCGTTGCTCTGGGGTCCATTTGGAGTCTTGTTTTAATTATAATCTGTCGAAGAACTGTATAATTCCAAGTTATTCTTGTGGATGGCCGGAAACACAATCATTGTTCTCAAAACAACCACACAAAAAGTGTTTGTTTCCCTTGGGAGCTTTAGTGACTTCTAAAACTCAAGATGTTTCCTCTGCAACACTCATTGGTGAGGAAAGGATTGGGGTGTTGTTGCTGAACCTTGGAGGTCCAGAGACACTTGAAGATGTGCAGCCTTTCTTGTTTAACCTCTTTGCTGACCCGGTAACACACTTGTGCTTTTCTCCTTTTCGTGCATGAGGCAAACTGTGTTAATTTCTGCTGCTTCCTGTTCTTGTCTTATGCCAATTATCACTTAAGATAAGTGAATTAGTAGGGATTTCAAAACACACTTCATATAGCCATGATATAGAGGGAAAAGGGAGGATAAGGAAGCTTCACTAGTATGCAAAATGCAATGCCAGATGTTACATTGTAGTTCCTAATCATTGGTTAACATCTTACAACCTAACATATGTTACCTTAATCCTAAGACAAGGGGCAACATAACATTTATTTCTTCCTTTTTTGAGAATTATATTCTGCATGGATAATTTCTAATTGCTAGAAAGGTTGTTTTTTTAATTATTATTGTTGGCAAAGAAAGTAAGCGCTCAGTTAGGTTTTGAATCTCTGAGCTTGACCGCAGAATCAAGTTTTGATGTTAGTGGGTACCAATTCTGTTAAGTTATGTTGGTGCTAAACAGGTTGAGTTATATGGATCATCCACTCTTTCTTATCTTTTGTACTTCTGGATTCCTTCATTTACTTTGGGGTTCCAAACTTCACATATCATGTAAAAATTATGAACCTTTATCCTGAGTTGAACTTCTGCTATCTGCTACATGAATCAATGATTTATTGCTTTCTCTTCTAGTTTTCTAACCATGTATAATTGGACAGGATATTATAAGATTGCCCAGGTTGTTTCGTTTTCTTCAAAAGCCCTTGGCACAGTTTATATCTGTTCTAAGGACACCCAAGAGCAAGGAAGGTTATGCTTCAATTGGTGGTGGTTCCCCTCTTCGACAAATAACTGATGCTCAGGTATGGTCATGTTGTTATCATTAGCTTGCATTTTAGTACCTTGGTTTTGCTTTTATTTTATCAGATCATTACATTTTCTCATGCCTGTGTGTCTATGTGCTAAAGAAAATTAGCATTTTCAGTTTCTTTTGATGCTAACAAATTCAAGAAGAAAATTGAAAAGGTGGTTGGTGGCTGTGGTCCAAACATTTTAAATTTATTTTTAGGAATGCTTCCAGGCTCATGTACTATAAGCATTATCTATTTTCTATAACCAATGATGCCCTGATCCATTCATTATTTAATTCACATATGGGGGAGATATGAATTTAAAAATGGTTAAAAAGTTATTTATCAGCTATTTATTCATTGTGACTGGAGGACCTGATAACTTTATTCCACAGTAATTAATCGTTTATGGCACTCCAAATTTTTTATGCTGTAGCATGGCATCTTCTGGTGCTAGATTCATTTGCCATAACCTTTTATTTATTAGTTCCTCCTTGTTTTGTGAAGTTTGATGTTTCTACAACAAACATGTATTTATGTGATTCTGATGCTAAAAGAAGATTCTATGAATCTAGGCAAAGTTAACTGTGTATGCCAAGTGATCTTGTGTTAATTTAAGCCTGAAGACTCGTCCTACATCAGGTTTTTGAACTTTTTATGCACTTTTGAAAACTCATGTTCAATAGAAACATATTGGAATTACTTGCACCATTCACCAAGATAAATAATGTTTATGGACCAATATTGATTTTCTTTTATTTTTGAGAGCATCAACTTCTCATATGTAATTGTGAATAAGAATAACCATGATTGTGAATGATTAACATCAACTGTTTACATTTATAAGATTTATGAAATCATTATTTTGTTGTTCTTTTCTCCTTTTTGCTCCAAATTGAGAAAAGATTTCAAAGAACGGAGGAAAGATTCACATCTGAATTTATTTTGTCAGTTTTCCTTCAGTGGCTTTTAAATGTCTGGTTTTTCTGTTATTTAGGCTGAAGAGTTGAGAAAGTCACTTTGTGCAAAGAATGTCCCTGCTAAGGTGTATGTTGGTATGAGATACTGGCATCCATTTACTGAAGAAGCCATCGAGCAGGTTTGTGGTTTGCTCTAATTTTATTTTATTATGATTTTTTAGAATGTTCAGTAGTTATGATTCTAGTACTTGAATTTTGTTATCTTTATTATTCTACTCTTCTATTCAAAGGCAATGCCTCATAGTTTATCATCTCCAAGCATTTGATCATATGTGAGAACATTTTCTTCAAAAGTTTAAGTCATATATAAATGGTTAATGGTGAAATGAGCTCTGTAGGTCCCTCTAGGCAGACCAGAATGATTGAATGAACTGATATGCTCCAAAAAAGGAAAGCAAAACTAATTCTAAATTGGGTTCATGAATGATTTGATGCTGATTGTTTTCTTATTCTTTCAAATATGAATCTGTCCTTTATGTTCATAATTGTGGCCTTATAGCTGTGGATAGTAAAGCTTCTTATTTCAGGTTGCCCATCAATACATGAATTCACTAAATAATTTCATTTTGGCTGCATTTTTAAATAAAAATGAGGCTTTAGTATTTTAGAGACTGACCTGTTCTCCTTGCTAACAAATATATAGATAAAAAGGGATAGAATCACAAAGCTTGTAGTGCTTCCTCTTTATCCTCAATTCTCAATATCAACCAGTGGTTCAAGCCTTCGACTCTTGGAGAGCATATTCCGGTGAGGACAAATGACACATTAATATTATACATCTTGTTATTGATCTAAAATTATAATCTAATATGGTTTATATTCTCTGGCAACATAAATGATGGTTCATCAGAAACGATGAGTATCTTGTAAACATGCAGCATACAGTCATACCTTCATGGTATCAACGTGAAGGCTATATAAAAGCAATGGCAAATTTAATTGAAAAGGAGCTGCAAAAGTTTGACTCTCCTGAGAAGGTAACATATCCTTACATGCATCATCTATTCTTAGTTCCGGATGTAAGGCATATTGTTCCTTCAGTACTAGTTATCCTATGTGTGATGCATGCTAGTTTATCCTATGCATTCAAAAATTAAAGGTTTTATATCTACATGAATCAGAAATAGATGCAGCATTCCCCAGTTTTCTCTTATTGCTTTAGAAGATCATTTTTTACTCTTTTAAAATTTCCCATAGGTAATGATATTTTTTAGCGCACATGGTGTGCCATTGGCATATGTGGAAGAGGCTGGTGATCCATACAAGGCAGAAATGGAAGAATGTGTGGATCTGATAATGGAAGAATTGGAGAAGAGAAAGATAACTAATGCATGTACTCTTGCTTATCAGGTACTTCTATTTGGAATATCACCTCAGTCTAGTCTATTTGTTTTCAACTTGTGAATTACTGCTAGTGATGGGTATTTGATCAGGAATTACGTGGATGAACGGCTTATGTCTTGGATTTTAGTGGAGGAAAAGTGGAACGAAAATGTTCATGAAGATTTAGATATTCTAGAGGGGAAAATAATTGTGATTTTCTTAATGGTTATTGTCTTATTGATGCTCTTGCAGAGCAGAGTTGGGCCTGTGGAATGGTTGAAGCCCTATACTGATGACACAATCATCGAGCTAGGCCGAAAAGGAGTTAAAAGTCTTCTGGCTGTACCAATTAGGTATCTGACACTGATAGCATGACATAAAACAAGGACTTCATTCTAGTTGTTTATCTTCTAGCGTGACATTCTCCTTTCAAAATCTTGATTTTTGATTCACAGCTTCGTCAGTGAGCATATTGAAACTCTTGAAGAAATTGATGTTGAGTATAAAGAGTTGGCTTTAGAATCTGGTATAGAAAATTGGGGGCGTGTTCCAGCTCTGGGATGCGAACCCATGTTCATTTCAGACTTGGCAGATGCGGTAATTGAGAGTCTTCCGTATGTTGGGGCTATGGCAGTTTCAAATCTTGAAGCTCGTCAGGTGCCTTAAAACTCCATCTAAATGCTGTATTTAAAATTGGTCTGGCTCATATGATGACAATTTTATTATAGCATTATGTCATCTCATGGGAGTTCTATATTTTTCTGCAGTCATTAGTTCCACTTGGTAGTGTGGAAGAGTTGCTGGCAGCATATGATTCACAACGTCGGGAGCTGCCACCACCTGTGATTGTGTGGGAATGGGGTTGGACAAAAAGTGCCGAAACTTGGAATGGTAGAGCAGCAATGCTGGCAGTGCTAATGCTTCTGCTCCTAGAGATCACAACTGGGGAGGGATTTCTGCACCAGTGGGGCATATTGCCCTCGTTCCGCTAAACTGTCTGGGGCATGTAGTTGTGAAAATGGGTGTAAATTTTATTGATAAAACTTGCATGCATTCTACCATAAAATATTCATCCCTGCATTACATCGGACTAGGTGACGAGTTAATATACACTAGGATTGGATTCAGGTAATGGTCTACTACAACTTGACAAGCTGGGCAGCACTTTTTGTGGGTGAAAAGAAAAATGTATTATAGTGGTTTTATAATTTTTATTCTGATGAGATGTTTTCACACTAATTCTGTTAATCTTTGGAACTTTCATTTTGCTGTTTCTAACAGTTAACTAAGGGAAAAAGGGAAAATCAGGACGTTCTACTAAAAAAACAATTAACTAAGATTAAGCGACTGTTTCAAAACAGCCGGGGTGAAACACCTCTAGAAAGATGAGAAAGTTTTGTGGGGTTAGACAGGCAAAAAAATGTCAGTCGAAAAAACCACTGCAATAAGATGTTTGGCTTTTCCTTTTCTCAAAACGTAAAACTGAGACTGTCTGGACTACTAGTTTTGCTATTATTTGCTAGTCCAAATTGAAAATGAACTACCCTTCTTGAAAGATAGAAATGTTGAATTCAAGTTCATGTCTAGTGAAATGACAGGAAGATAGATCGAAAAGGGCTAATCCAATAAGAGAAGCAAGACAATTTCATTTTTCATACATTAGAACTTCATAGCAAGGTAAACTGGGAATTACATGCATAGCCTTCTACATGTTAGAAACTTGAAGATCTACTAGGAATATGTTTTTTTGGAAATGAGAAGCAGCAGTACTTGGCTATTATACACACAAATAGGAAAACAGCTGAAGTCATGACATTAAGTCCTTTCTTGCATGATATAATTGGACAATATAATGCTGCCTTAACTGATATGGAATTCTCCACTAGCATGAACTTCCTTGACCCTCTTGTCATATTCATCTTCATCATCCTCTTCTTCCACGTCAGCCTCCACATCTTCTTCTTCATCTTCTTCTGCTGTCCCCCAGCCAAGGCCCTTGACTCGTGTGGATGATGGAGGTGGAGTTCTTGCTTCTGCTACGATTTTCATTATCTCCTCCTCAGTTTGAAGGGAATAGGTTGGATTATCCCTCTGGTAATAAATGGCCTGAGATGACTCTGTCAGCTCTCTTGGCAAATTCTTTAAAAACCAAGGATGATTTTTGATTTCCTTGATTGTGATTCTCTGTCAGAAAATTAAACAGTATGGTTTAGAAATCATTTTCAAGAAGACGTAGTAATAATTGTAAATAACATTTTACATGAAATAAAGGTGTATCAGAATCAACGAATAACAGGTTCATCAAGTTTCACAAAACCCATCAAGGTTTATTTAGTATGTGCAGTCTGCCAAATGTTGCAGAGTCCATAAAGACATGCTTCTTGCAGTTTTCAGTCTTCTTCAAGAAAATATTTGCTCTAGAAAGTGACTTAACATGGGGAAAAGGTAACAAAACCATAACTGATTCTAAGGATTATGAAAAAATGAGCCAAGAAGAGGAGAATTTGACACCACTGAATTATTTAAGAGGCTATCTCAGTTAGGTGTATGACCTAAGGAACAAAAGCCTTTGGCTGACTAAGAAGTCTAATAAATCATAACATCAACTCAATTCTCTGAGAGTTAAAGAATGATAAGTATCCATGGACTTAAACGTTTGGCTGTTGTTAAGGACTTACTGCAAAATAAGGCACTAATATACTCAACCTAAGTATCTCCTAAAAACTTCTAAGGAGTTCAGTAAGGTAATGTTAGATAGCAGTAGCAAGTTATAATTATGTTATCCAATTCGAATTTGCAACAACTGAAACAGTGAACATTACAATGCTACATACCCTGGATGGATTTGAAACGAATAAGCGAGAGAGTAGGTGCCTGCAGTCCTGTGATACATGAACATAGTCCGGAATTTTGTATTGAACTGCCATTATTCGCTGCAACGAGAAAATGGTAAGACAAATTATTATTATAATAATAACAGTTATATTTTGAAAAGTTAAACAGACCAAAAAGATTCTTACCTGAATTGTTTTCCTAAAATTCCTTGGATCCACTTGGTCTTCAAAAGGGTATGCCCCCACCAGCATAACATACAGAGTAACTCCACATGACCACACATCCGCCAGCTGTATAAAAGCAACAGGGACAATTTAAGGACACTCATGCTGATAAAAATGAAAAAGGAACTCATTCCTTTAAAACTGAATACACGGCATACACAACAACTTTAAAGGAGCAGAGGAGAGGAAAAACAATTAAGAAGAAAAACATTAGAATAGTCATATATCAAATGATATTGTAATAAAGTATAATCTTTTTCGCTGGATGTCACTTATGATTAGAAGGCTTGAGCAATAAGGATAAAAAGTTAGCAAAAGCAGCCCAAACTTCAAAAAAAAAAAAAAAAAAGACCCCAAGTGATGAGAAAGGTCACAAACCCAAAAAAGAAAGGTGTGTTGGCGATAATAAACCTCAGGCGTTGATAACTCAAATGGCAGATATGGAAGACTGTCACTCACAAAGTCCTCCAAATACTAATTTGAATCAAGATCGCTAATTGCTAGACTCATTTAACAGAAAAAAAAAAGGACATTTTTACTCATTGGGTCACATATGTTGATGCATATTCCAAAACCAAGCCAAAGGACCAACCATTTGAAGACAACACAAATGAGAACAAAATGCAGAAGAAAACAAGATCATAAGGGGTCCCTCAACCAAAGAGTTGTGCCTTTACAAGGTAGTTCATCATAAGTATAATCCAAGCAACATCAAGTTCTAGATCAACCTATTCAGTATTCACAAAACTAAGTTAAATTTCAAGAGGAGAAGTCAGCTTTTTTTAGTACCAGCAGGGCTAAAAAACTTCACTATTAGGTTATCTAGTCATTATTCAACTAAATGCAACAGTCAAGCAAGCTTTTTAAATCACCCAAAACCAAAGTTCCAAACCATGTGATACATGGAGTATCAAGTAAACCAATACTCATTTTACTGCAATTTAAGGAAAGAATATGAAACAATATTATATTAAACCAACTGACCAGCATGTGCCTTCAAGCTGCGATTCTCTTACAATGAGTATAAGGGCATTAAAAAATATTGTCCACTAGAACAATTGGAACTTGCAAACTACATTACTTCACATCTTCTAGTCTTTGGTGAAAATATTATCAACTTTAAAAAGGACAAAACTCAACTGGTGACAGAAGAGCAATTGTCCTGCATTTTAAAAAAATAATGGTCTTCATTATCATTGAGTAAATGCTTTTCTCTTTAATTATGTAGTAAGCATCAAATTCAAAGTGGCACACTAGATCCAATATATATATATAGTTCAAAAAAATGCTTGGCCAGATAGGTCACATTTTATTGAGAAGTAGACTAATAATTTAATCAAATATAACTTGTTTAATAAAAAAAAATTACACAATCACCTTGCCATCATATACTCTCTGAGATAGGACTTCTGGCGCTATATATGCTAGAGTTCCAACAGTGGATTTGGGTCTCGAGTGCAGCAGAGATGACTATACCACAAGTAAAATCCAAGGATTAAAAAAAAGAATCAGAAAACAACAAAGCTTATAAATAGCAATGATCCTTTTTTTTTTTTTCAATCTGTACATAACAGCAAAATCCATCCTGTCCTGACCTTGGAGTAACCAAAATCACAGATTTTCAAGCGTGGAGCAGGGCTTCCATCTAACAGTGTGTTTTCTAATGTCAGGTCTCTGTGGCATATTTGCTGCAACATATTAGTAAAAACAAAGAGACATAATGCATTTAGTTCTTGCACTTTTGTAAACTTAAGGCAAAGGTCATGTTATGATTTCTGTGTTTAGTACCATTGAATGACAGTAGTTGACACCAGAAATCAACTGTTGAAAGAAATATCTTGCCTGCCAAAAAAAGAAAACCACATTAATTAAGAACCGTCAAATAATTGCAAATGGACAAGAGAAAAGGGCCATAGAAAGAGACACAATCAAAGAGAGAAATTGACCTCATCTTCACTGAATCTACCCGCATTGCAGATTCGTTCAAAGAGTTCCCCTCCGGCAGCATACTCCATGACAATAACCAAATGTGTGGGTGTCAAAACCACCTGTAAGATCCAAATCCGATCAAAACACAGACTCCTTGCAAATAAACATTTGTAAGCAAACCAAAACTCAATCTAAAGATTAAGTTAAACATAGCAGAAACACAGAAACTTGCCTCCTTGAACCGGATTATATTGGGGTGCCTAAGAGATCTGTGATTGATGATCTCCCTTGCCACGTTTTCATCTATCTGTAATAACAAG